CGTGCTGAACACTTCCTGTACCTCGAAGTCTTTGGTACACTTGCACAAATGTCCTTCTGTCTGGGTGTACCTGTTGGCGAAATCTGTCGCGATAAATTTGAGCTGCAAGATTTGAATTCTGACGAGCTTCACTGTAAACCAACAACATGTCGGCGAATTCTGGATTCGAGAACATTGTAAACAACACGCCCGATGCCCGATAACTAACCACTGTTACCGTTTGCGATCGATTGCCGGTTGGATAAGAGTGATGATGACCGACGCGCTGTTGTCATGTGTGTTTTAAATATTGAATTTAATGAAACTTACTTACTTACTGACTACAAATTTTGGCTTAGCTTAGAAAAACTTAATCGCATTTATTTGTTAATTACCCAATTTAAAAACGTTTTATATTAGATTATAAAAATTAGTAAGATGTGGTCGATATAAAGCACTTAAAGTTATAAACTATAAAGCCATTTAGATAAATATCTATTGACTTTTGGACCATGGGTCATACGAACTTTTTGACTTGTTTTGACCGCCCCTATTACCGATTTCAATAATGACTACCATAACGTTGTCCATTTTATGAAACTCTCAAGTTTTTTTTTCATTTCAGTACTGAGTATTCTTAAGATGCTTGATAAATGCAACTTTGAAAAAATTCATCCATTTTCGATTATTCAACCTACTTTTTTTATATGAGCGCATTATCGTAACGATTCCTATTTCAGATCTACATATAGATAACATAAACTGAAAGTGTTGTGGCGCAGCGATCACAATACAAACAAGAATTGTATTCCCATTATGACTGTATCGGACTCCCACGAATGCTAGGTTTTTGTCTAAACGAGCGCCAAGATCAATAGAATTCCAGATATTGACCATCAAAATATAATTATGCAAATCGCAGGGCGGAGATACGGTAGACACGCCGAGCCTTGCCGCTAGGTAGGCAACACCTAGATAAGGTTACCGCTTACAATAACTGGAATATGGAGTTTCATGAATAAAGGACGTATTATATTCTAATATGAAAATGGGATGAAGTTTGCCGTGGTTATGATCACCTTATTTATAATTCAGGCAGGTATCCAAAACCACGAATACAACAGAAACTGCGAATTTATCAGGTTTTTTGCTGAAGGTTTTAAAAATCCGTCAGATGATTCATTCCAATTCTGCAGTAGCATCTTAATGTTGTTCGGGTATCATGCCGCCAGTCCTTTAAACATTTGTTTTAACCTGTTCAATGGCCAGCAGACCACTTCTGTATTTAGCCAGAATCATCAGCCATCTAGCGGCACGGCTATTAAACGGGAACTAAGATCCATGAAACTTCCGACTGATAGCAGCGGTGCGCGATCTACAATGCTTCCATTCTGGTGCAATAGATGGCGCTTCTTTTATAAAATAAAATGGGAACACGCCAATGTGTGGTTTTTCATAGGCTTCTGCAAAACTGAAGAAATTTCAAATATCATCGTAGCTGATGTATATATACAGGGTGTAAAAGTTATGATAGTCATTATTTAAATGGGTGACATGGGGGTCAAAACGGCATTTTTTTAGAGAGAAGCGACTCTAAAGTAAAATAAAATCTGACAACGTCGCAATGCCAGACGCAAATTACGACGGAACGTAGGGTCAATAAAGATGGAGGTTGTTATTTTTGGCTCTTAGGTATTATTTCATTATTCGATAATGTACTCGTAAAATGCAAACAATTCAAATAAAAGGACTTACCACTAACTGTCTCAGCGCTTCACCTGGTGTGTGAAAGTTAATTGAACGTATTCAAAAAATCCACTTATAAATAAGGAACACAATTTTGATACATACGTATACATTGTTTTCTTTTTAAAACCCGCACTTTTTTTGTATTTAAAGAAGGTGTTCAAAATGTCGACCTCCACTTTCAACACAAGCTCCATTACGACGAACCCAGATTCTTCTTACTGTAGGTCCTCGAACTTGTCCATTTATTATTTCAGCCGCAATTAAGAATTTTTTCGCGAAGTTGTGCTTCAGTTGTTATTGGACCAGCCCCATAAACCATCCCTTTAAGTTCTCCCCAATATCGGAAATCCATCGAATTGAGGTCAGGAGACCTTGTTGGCTATTTTCGAGGATCAGGAGCATTTCGACCGATCAACAGATTTAAATAATGTTCATTCAAATACTGAATGACGCCTCTAAAAATTTGTGGTGGTGCCCCGTCATGAAGAAACCACAAATTCTATCTCGGTTGTAAGGGCATGTTATCTAAGGTCTGTTGCAAAAGTTCTGGTAGGTTATTGGCTAGAAAGCTAAGGTATCATTCTCCTGACAACTTTGGGGGTAACTCGAAAGGTCCAATTACCTGATCGTCCAGAATACCCGCCCAAATATTTAAAACGTTGTTGGAAATGACCTTCACGAATGGTATGAGGATTTTCTTGGGCCCACGTGTGAGTATTACGGAAATTTAATATTCAGTCTCGCGTAAAAGTACATTCGTCCGTCGCTAGAATGTTTTTAAAAAAATCCGGATTTTCAATGTCTTTGTGCAAAAACTACTGACAGAATGTTAGTCGGCGAGGATAGTCTTCTGGTAACAAGGCGTGCACTCGTTGTACATGGTAGGGATGAAGAAAATTTTCCCGTAGGATTCTATGGACTATGGTATGCGATAGTCCTACGCGGCGGCCTAATTCCCGAGTGGTGATATCTGCATTTATTTCCACGACATTTAAAATTTGTTCCTCCTGCTCTACAGTAACCTGTCTTTTACGAGTGAGAATATTAGTGGGCTGAACACTTCCTGTATCTCGAAGTCTGTGGTACACTTGCACAGATGTCCTTCTGTCTGGGTGTACCCGTTGGCGAAATCTGTAGCGATAAATCTGAGCTGCAAGATTTGAATTCTGACGAGCTTCACCGTAAACTAACAACATGTCGGCGAACTCTTGATTCGAGAACATTGTAAATTAAGACGACGACGTACCCGAACAATAACAAAACAACATACTAACCACTGTTACCGTCTGCGATCGATTGCCGGTTCGGATATATTTAATTTAATGAAACTTATTTACTTACTGAATACAAATTTTAGTTCAACTTCGAAAAACTTAATGCCATTTATTTGTTAAGTACCCAATTTAAAAACGTTTTAGATTGGACTATAAAAATTAGTAAGATTGTGGTCGATATACAGCATTCAAAGTTGTAAACTATAAAGCCATTTAGACAAAAATCTATTGACTTTTGGACCATAGGTCATATGAACTTTTTGATTTGTTTTGACACCCCCTACTAGCCATTTCAATAATAACTTCCATAGGGTTTACACCCTGTATATTACATGTATAATAACGTGAACATACAAAAGATTTTATAAATCATAATCAAACGCTTGTATTACCTTAAATACGTTCTTATTGTTACAGGTGTCATTCTGGGAATCATAAATACTATCGTTGCATCTGTAGGATTTCTAACTCCCATGGTAGTAGGATATTTGACATACCAAAATGTGAGTACATTTATGTAATAGAAGTAGGAGTCCAACTCTGTTTCCAGAGCGTTTATTTTTTTTTGAACAGAAAAGTGGTGGATCACTGAATACGCAAATCATTTGACTGAATTGGTCATCTCCTACATAAAAAAAACATCGTTAACTGTTTATAATGAAATGTGACTCGAATATTATTGAAACTAAAATGAAAAAACAATGATGCACCTTCTTGCGTGTATGATCATCAAGAGAACCACAGAGGAAGTTCCACAGTGAACTCTAGCTAGCAACTTGAAACTTTCATGATTCTGTACGACACAGCGACGCAAGAACAGCTGCACCGCACTTCCGTTGATTAAGGATTCCATTAATTGTTCTAGTTTCTGTGTGGCGCAGGTGGATTTACTTTTATTTACCGCGTCAAAGTTTATCTAAAAGTACCCGCGTCACTGCTTCCCTGTAAAAGGCTTTTGCTGTAAACTTCTTGTCATTGTATATGCATCAGTGATGATACAGAGTTTTAGCGTAGAGAAAGTTTGCAATTGTTTGAAGTCTTTGAATGCCGAATTTTGTATATTCTGGGAGGAAATGTTACATAAATCTATAGAAGTACCTAAATACTAAGCCGTCTGTATCCGAGGATAGGGGGATTACTTCCATGGGCTCATTGTAATTAGGACACTGCGTGAACTTGGTGAAAATTTTGAATTATTGGTAGCTTTGAAGGGTGAACTCTGTTGACTTTGTGAATAATGGCTCTATAAGACAACACGAGTACATCCATTTGACTCTAAACAGATAAAAAATAGTACACATACAGCTTTCGTTCATCCGGCCACGGACGACCAACCATGGACAGTTGTTTCATGCTATGTGGCAACTCCTCAGCATGAGGCTTGGTGTCAGGTAAGACAACAAAAGAAAGCTGAGCAATTATTCTCTATTCAGAGTATAAGGTCTATCAAAATCAACAGCACAAAGCCCCTCTGTGAAATTGAAAATAGCAAGCTGTCTGTTGAAACTGTAACCCGGTTCGAACTGTAACCCGGTTCGCATTGTCAGCCGGGTCACCACTTCTGGTGCTATAGGAGATAATATGGTCTACAACTAGTAATATGGATTTTGTTCATCCGGTCACAGACGGCCAACCATGGACAACTGTTTCGTGCTACTTAGCAACTCCTCAGCATGATGTAGGGCTGGCCTTAGGCAGGGCACCGAACGGAAGCTGAGATGCTTATGATCCACAGTCAACTGAAGACGTCGAATGCATGCACCCATGGCCTTGATGTCCATAAAACAGGCAGCAGCGGTGGCCGCAGTAGTAGACTCTTCAATCTCCTGATCAGTCGCCGTGCGCTGTGCGGGTTCGAATCCCATCCCAGGAGAAACTTTTTTCTTGGCTATGGATGTTGTGATTGTCCGTAGGTGGTAGATGGTCTCTGACTGTCGAACGCGGAGGTACCATCCGGCGGATCTCGTAGGCAAGAGCCAGAATGTGTGCATGTTGCATGCACACGTGTTCCCTCGCCAGAGTCCGTGTGGCGTTCCCCCCTTCCCCTGCATCACCCTATAGCCCCACGGTACCCAATGGGTGTTTAGGCCTTAGGCCTTCGTGGTAGTTGGACTATATAAAAAAAAAAAAAAAAAAAAAAAAAAAAAAAAACAAACATGATTAAATATTAATCTTTATAACCCCATGGCAGCAGTGTTGTTGTCATTGCATGTGTATTTCGTCAGCGTAGAGAAAGTTTGTAATTGTTTAGAGTTTTGATGTTTCTGTAAGGAAGCATACCAATGTAAGGTTACCAACCGACAATGAAAAATATATAATAATATACAGGGTGCGGCAGAGAGGATGGACGGTTTTAAAAAAATCATAAAACAGTTAACTTTTACTCGAAAACAAATTTATTGATGGAATCAGGTTCACAAGGAAATAGCATTTGAGACAGTCAAGTGTGGAAAATCACATCAGGCATGTGGTGACCGAAATCGTTGATGCAGTGCTGGAGGCGTTCTTGGAAGTTCGCGTAGACTCAACTTGGGCGACTTCCACGCGAATTTCGCCCTTCAATTCGTCCAGAGTTCGGGGCTTGTTCGCGTATACTCTAGCCTTTCTCTACTCATTAACAAAATGAGGTTCTCATTTTGATCGATCAGTGCTTCCATTTCACGTGCGAGGTTCATTCGTTGTGCATAATCTCCGGGCTGTAACTGTTGCACAATGGCCAATTTGTAGGGGAGAAAGCGGAGATCCATATGCAAAATTCGCCTTACCGAACGATCACTAAGGCGAAGTGCAGCTGCATGTTTCCGGACAGATCGAGTCGGACTGCGAAGAAAGACCTGTCGAACGCGTTCAAGATTTTCAGGAGTTCGAACTGTTCTCGGCGCTCCTCCTTGTCTTCTGTTGATCAGTTCACCACGCTTGCGAAGTGATTCAACCCAACGAAGGATGGTGTTTCGAGAGGGAACAGCTCTATTCCAATGAATGTTGAAGTGGCGACGAAACTCACGCTGTACGACGATAACTGACTCATTATTTCGGACAAAACAATCATAGGCGAAAACGCGGTGCTCCACCATCCAAGGCGCCATAACGACAACTGGTAAAATAATGCTAGGATCTCACAAGTCAAACGCCACCCTCCCGAACTCTCTCGTAGACGGAGGCGGAGAGTACTACCCATCCCAAAAACGTCCGTTCTCTCTGCCGCACCCTGTATTATATCTTCTATTTCTTCTGGGGGTATCCTCGACGCTCCTAGCTGACGACGAGTTCCTACTATGCGGCCCTCCATATATGCATTATGGGCACGTAGAAAAACGCCGGTTGTGGTCCACCTCTTCTAACCACATACTCCCGATACATGCGAGCAGCTGCTCGAGCATTTTGTAGGGCAGTACCATTTCTGCATAATCTCGCGGAGAATATGACATGATTCTACTCAGTGACAAACGTTTGATACAAATTGCGCGCTGGACCATTGCCCGACTTAGTAATTTCGGACCGAAGATTGAACGCTTCTGCACCTGGAATGCCCAGTTAAATGCCCATGCTCATTAAGCTGATTTGGTTATTTGCATATACATCCTGTATATGGCTCCAATATCTCTTCTCTCAAGTGCGAACAATCAAAGCGGTTTCTTTAATCAATGGGTTTGTCGGTTTGTTGTTGTCTGTATGACAGATTTATTAAAAAGTGATTTCAACTGATCTGAAAAATGCTTGTGAACTCCATGAACCATGCACATGTAGTCAATTGAGCTATTAGCTCATCATGCATTGTACACGATGAACGGATACTTAAGTTGCACAATAATATAACATTTGAATAATGACTTTTCCTATACTATGTGCCATCGTTCTCAGAAAATGAATTTCAATTTTCCCCTAAGAGTGTTTTTTTTGCTGTTCAGAACGTCTTCTATCAGGTTTTTTTCTTATAGCAAACCGTGGTCCAATGGCAGAAAGTCTTCTGGATAGCCACACTCTTCCTCTTCGTCAGCGGTATACTGTACTGCACCATATCTAACTCAAAACTGAAGTCATGGAACTCTCCGGAAGGAGAACAGAATAGTGCTGAGAAAGAAATGAAGGATATGAGAAAAAACAAAGAGGAAGGTACTGCGGATGAGAAAGGAGCAATGTTGAGATCGGCGGAGAAAAATGGTGCTACTGCGACCTGAGACAAGGAAAAGGTTTCATTTATGTTAGGTGGAAGAGATTTATAAGATTTACTTTCCAAATAAAGTTTTCAGACTTTATAATAAAATGTATTTTTGATAAGTCCCGACAAATTATTTTAAATTCCTTTATATACTTAGTCCTGTGCGGAGGTAAGGGAAGACACCTACGCTACCGGCTCATAACTACAGATGTTCTGGGCAATTCACAGATAGGTGTCGCACTACCAAAACGGTCGAACCATACCAATACCAAGCATTCACAGGGCAGACAACAATGGTTTTCTATGCATATATCCACATGTGGAAGCAACTGGAATGGATATGTTTGCTTCAGTGTATGTAACCATGATCAGCCTCGAACAACGCTGTTTCGTGCTCATAAGCTGCTCATCAGTGCGGTACAGGTCTAGTAGTTCTGGACACACATGAACGTAGAGAGGTGGGTATGATCGTTTGATAAACTTTAAATACTGTGCGAATAATCTGTCGATCTCCACCTACCAATGGTTTGCCAAGTTGATCTTCATCCTCATCCCATAGGAGTCCTATGCTGATGACTCGAAACTGCTCGACGTTCTGCGCAATTCACAGATAGGTGTCGCACTACCAAAACGGTCAAACCATACCAATACCAAATATTCACACATGAACATATACAGGGTGACTTCGAAGTTGAGTCATTTATTTTAACAGTGAGTAGATCTGATCAAAAGAAATGTATTTTTCCTTTACCATTTTTCTGGTAAAATTAAAGTAACAAAGTTATAGCCCTTTGGAAGTTTGAGTACCGCCCTGTCTCAATAATAATATTATGTGCTCGTGTTTGGCGACAACGGATATAATTCGCCTTATCGGTTCATCGCATCGGAAACAAAAAAAGCGAAAGAATTTGGAACGATGTTTTTACAATTATTTCATTCAGTTGTATACAGTCAGTGTCAGTCGGTAGTGGATAGTGGTGTCTGTTGCGTGGCTCAAACGAAATAAAAAATGGCACATGTTTATGCGGATCGGTTTCCCAATCGAGTGCAACCAACCCCTCGTGCCTTTGTTAATGTAGTACAACGGGTTCGTGAATCATTTGACTTAAGACCTCACATATGGACGGCATGCCGGTGCTCCAAGACCTCACGATCAAATACAGGTCCGCACTAAAATACTTGTCGGGAGGATACTTTATAAAACAAGGTAACATTTTTTTTTTAATTTTTTTTTTATTTTTACACACATATTTTGGTTTATCTTCCTTCTACAATCATTATCTGAAAATTAATGACTCAACTTCAAAGTCACCCTGTATATACAGTGTGTTCATTCCAAAACTTCTCACCACGGATTAATCGAAAACCAGTGATTAAAAGGAAAAACGCCGACTCGTCAAATGATTTGTCAAGGGAGACGACCTTTTAACCAAAAACTGCTACACCCCCTTTCACCCTCGGCCCCCATGGTGACTCTCTTAAGAATTTTAAATGACTAGGAGTATCGAGTATCAGCTTGTATGAAAGGTCTTTCAAAGTTTTTTATTATGGCGTTCGATTTATTTAAATCAGTCGATTCGTTTTCAAGAAAATTAGAAGAAACTTTATTTATCTTTATTTATTGTTACACCTGTTTAGTTATTAGTTGCTAAGGAAAAGAAAGTATTTAATTTGCTGTCAGTTACCTTTGTGACAGTCTTTTGATAGTGATAATTAATTTATTGATTCAGATTTTACTTCTAAAATGGTTTACATATTAGCCGAAAGAGTGGAAGTGATTTTAATTTATGGTGCCCAAAGTGTTTGTTGCAAATGAAAAACGCGATCATCTGGGAGTTTTGGATGAAGCCGCTCAAGTTGAAGTTTCTGGTCATTTTGGAATAAATCCTAATACTTCATTACGCAAAATTGTTGCTTCGACTGGTATTTCATTAGGCTCTGTACATACAGTGACAAAACTCCATAAATTTAGTTCATTCCAAATGAAAATATTGCAGGAGTTAACCGAAAATAATTTCGATAGGCGAGTTGGGTTTTGTGAAATAATGACTGCAGCAGATTAATGATAATACCATTCATGGAAAGCATATCCGCTTCAGTGATGAATGAACATTTTATCTAAATGGATTTGTTAATGAGCATAACTGCAATTATTGGAGCAATTAAAATCCTCATGCTTTTGTAGAAGATCATACCCAGTACCACCAAAAAATTAATGTATGGGCAGGTATTTTAGGAAACAAAGTGATTGAGCTATTGTTTATTAATGAAAATTTGAATGGAGACATTTATTTGCATATATTGGAAGATATCATCAATCCACTTATCACTGAAACAATTAAAAACCAAATTGAAGAGGATGGTAGCCGTATAATTGATAGGGATGAAATACACATATATTTCCAGCAAGACCCGCGAGATCTCTTGATTTGACGCCATTAGACTTCTTTCTATGGGGCCATTCTATTGTGTTCACTTCCCAACCTGAAAGTTTTGATGAACTTCGTCAACGCATCATCGAAAGCTGTCCTGATATCTCACAGCACGTTTTTGAAAATGTCCGTTATCATCACATCACATTAAGTATGATTACAATAATTCGGCAATCTGAGAGCAATATAAAGACTTTGAAGTTGAGTCATTAATTTTCAGATAATTTTTTTTTTTATACTCCAACTACCACGAAGGCCTAAGGCCTAAGCACCCATTGGGTACCGTGGGGCTATATGGGGGATACATGGGAAAGGGGGGACGCCACACGGACTCTGGCGAGGGAACACGTCTGCATGCAACATGCACACATTCTGGCTCCGCCTACGAGAACCGCCGGGTGGTACCTCCGCGTTCGACAGTCAGAGACCATCTACCACCTACGGACAATCACAACATCCATAGCCAAGAGAAACATTTCTCCTGGGACGGGACTCGAACCCGCACAGCGCACGGCGACTGA